CTTTATTCTTAGAGAAGGGCCTGAAACAGGACAGGTGGAAACAAGATCAGATTTGGACTGAACATTGGTGTGATATTCTACATGTACAAGGCTCACAGTTCATACCAAAATTACAATTTCTGTCTTGCTCACAGCACTTAGGCCAGCAATTGGCAAAACTTTTTCTGGCCSTGTGCTTCTGGAAACCATCTGAGCTCCACTGAATCAGCATGGAAGCAAATCTGTGCACACACTAATCATTTGACCCCAAGTTTTAAATTGTTTTCTGAACTGATTTTTTCTAAGAATCAAATATTTCTCTTTGAGTCCCAAGAATCATCTTCATTTTAAAGGGAAAAAAGATTAAGCAGATTATTATACATATATATATGCTTTTTACATATATATGTGTGTGAAATATATAATATATGGTATGTGCAATATATGAAAGGTCTCTTCCCATCTCTGAACTTTCATTTGGTTTCTTTATGTTTCCCATCTGCAAACACAGGCTCTTGGCAAGTTCCCTGGCTCCTTTTTAGGAGGAGAGGAAATCTGTCCAATTGTTTGACAAATAAAGCATCCTGATAACACTTTATAATTAATAGGGAAGGATTTCYCCACCTTTAATATCTAGTTCGACCACATTCAGTAGCTTGGGATTTTTTTTTCTTTAAATCCTGGGTTATTTCTGTAATGTTTCCTTACGATTTTTACTGTTCTAAAATATAAGCTGGTTACCCTGTCACTGGCATTTAAATGTACTTCTCAGTCCCCTCACAGACTGCTTGCAGCTCTGTGGGTTTCAATTCTACTTTTAATAGACAGAAAAGGGAAAAAGACTTATTTTTAGGCATGGAGAAAGGGAAACAATTAAGATAATGAGGCCCTGGAAAAAAATCTCTGGAAGACAAGTGACAATTCCAATCACTCTGAGGCTGGACAAACCAGATGGGGCAAATTTGGTGGAGTGGTTCAGTGAAGGTCTGACTTTCACGGGAGCTCAGGACCTAAACCTGGTTGATCTTCATGGCCCCTTGGCAGATGCAGAGRACCAGGGCTGGGTGAAGCAAGAGATCCCACACTTGGGTGTTGAGTGCTGGACACTGCRCAGTGTGGAGGCAGGTCATGCCACCACAGCTGGGGTTCAAATCGCCTGGAGTGGCTGCAGACAGCCTGCTTCTTCCCTCATACCCTTTGTTTCCTATTTTTCAAACCTCAGGGCTGTGCAGGAACRTCGGGTCTCGGGCTGATTAAGGGACCATGTGACTGCTCTGGACTCTGCACTCAGATAAACTCCCTGCTGAATGAAGAAATGTGTAAAATGCTTCCAGCCGAGATTATTTCGCACCAGGCTGTACTAAGAAATGCAACAGAGTTTCAACACTCGCGTTTCAGAGGCACAAAAGAGAGGAACTGTCCATGTCCTGGAAGCTCGAGAGTCCCCCCCCCACACAGCAACACCTGTATTTCTGTGGAAGCAGATCCCGGTTTAGCTTGGGGAATAAAACATTCTGATTCCATAGAATGACACATCCGTCGAATCAATGCACAMAACTTCCCTTCTAAAAGCCATTTTCAGAAATCCCAAATCACACATTTAAATCGGTAAAATCAGGTCCAAACTGGCTACGTTGGGA